TTTCCAAGCTGGACGCAATCGTCAGGCCTGACGATTGCGTCTAGCATGAAACCACTAAGTGTTGACTTCAATGTTCACTTTTATATATATATATATATATATATATATATAAATTCCAAGAGTATAGAATCCAGGTAGAACTCAATGTCCAAGACAGAGTAAGAATATAATATAAAAGGTTCAAACACTAATATTCCATAGTTATAATTTATTACATTGGAATCATAATCACGATCCAATTCATCAGACCTACAAATTCAAAAAGAACTTCATATAGTGATGCATTGATTGTCATTTTGCTATAAAAATTTATTGTAGGTCATTTTATAGAAAAATACTGTTGATTTTTGTTTGGGTTGGGGGTTCACTGTTTGCCCATATTTGGGACCCTGGGACCCAATCAAGTTGGATCTAGAAACAACAGCAGTTAAGAGGTGGTCCCATGCTCCTCAAAACTTCAAATCTTCCGAATCCCGAAGGCGCATATAATAACGAAAGATACCTTCCAGAAAATAAGCAAAGTATGAAGAAATAGGAAATTTTCGTCAAAAACAAAGAAAAAAGTATTTAAATGCTGTGTAATATCTAATTTTTTACATTGGAATAGAGAAAGTTCCATTTGAGCTTATTGTTGAGTTTAAGGCCTTTCAATACACGGAGCCACCCCGGGGTGAGTGAGGGTCATTCATTCATCGTGACTGGTGGTAGTTCGGGATCCGATCGGCGATGATGGAATATAACTAGTTTAGTTTTCGAGGCATTGAATGTAACCAGCCAGCTTTCCCCAACTGAGCAGTTAGAGCAAGATCGAATGAGAGATCAGCTGCCAATCTCGGATCCTCATGATGTGAGTGTTAAATTCCCTAGGCTCTCTTTCCTCATTATGGATCCCAGAAAGTTTCCTTGTAGTTCCTATTTTCCTTAAAGCGTCCTCATTTTTTATATGTCCTGTCTATCGTGTTCTCAGCATTCGCTACATCTCTGTCGCTTCAAGTCTCCTTTTCATCTGTGAAAAAATTGTCCAGATCAGTGCCATATAGAAGATTATATATTACATATCAGTTCAGTATTCTTTTCAATGAGTCTATCTAAATTTTCCTCTTTCTTAATACTTCGCTTGGTTTCAGAAGGCAACTTTGTCTATTCTAATGTAAAAAAAAAACAAAACATATATTATGCAGCAGTTCAGTACTCTTTTCTTTGTTTCTAACGAAATTTTCCTCTTTCTTAATTCTTTGCATAGTTTCTGGAAGGCATCTTTCTCTATTCTAATGTAAAAAATTAGATATTACGCAGCATTTAAATACTTTTTTTTTGTTTTAACGTAATTTTCCTATTTCTTCATACTTTGCTTAGTTTCTGGAAGACATTTTTCTCTATTCTTATTTACAAAATTAGATATTACGCACCAGGTCAGAAATCTTTCCTTTGTTTCTAATTCTTAATACATTTTCTTAGTTTCTGGATAGTATATTTCGCTATTCTTTTGTAAAAAAAATAGATATTACGCAACAGTTCAGTACTCTTTTATTTGTTTCTAAAGAAATTTTCCTATTTCTTAATACTTTGCTTATTTTGTGGAAGGTATCTTTCGTTAATATAAGCGCCTTCAGGATTCGGTGTCACATTTTCACCAAAATCTGCTGCCGTCATCCATTACTTATCGCCGTTTTGCTTTGCAAGAGTTGGTTGGGGGCGAAAGAAAATCAGATTAGAAGAAAGTGACGGCGTGAATCCGTTTAAGATGGATCTCAACTTGCCACACACTTGATTTCATGACCTCCTTCTGCGGAACATATAGAATGTGACGTACAGAAAGAAGTTATGAAACTGCAAGGACTGCCACTGACTTTTATAATTTCGAGCAGCGCCTTCTGTACTATGTTCGTCATGCGTAGCCCTCTTCATCTGCTGGTTCAACCATTGATATCTTTTGAAATCGTCACCAGCTTGTTCCAACGTTGGGGTTGGTCGAGCTTAGTCTGGGTCCACGTTTTCGTAGAGTTTGAAATTACAAAAGGCGACTTTTTTTAAAGCTAGAGACAAAACTTCTCTTTGCGACTACTCGGCCTCACATTGACTGCTGACCTGAGATGGAACAAATATATTGAGTCAATAGTTTCGTCCACTGCAAGGAAAGTTGGCTCCCTGTGCCGCGCCAGGAAATTTTTCTCGACGGCGTCGATCTTTCAAATCTACAAATCAACCATTCGCCCTTCCATGGAGTATTGCTGCCATATATGGTCTGGTGCACCTTATATTTGTCTTAAGGTTCTCAATAAGATCCAGAGACGGATATGCAACGTAACTGGCCCTGATCTGGCATCTCATCTGCAGTCGCTCCATCACAGACGTGCTGTCGCCTCCCTCTGTCTTTTTTACAAATACTTTCATGGTAACTGCTCTGAGAAGCTGCTTTCGCTGGTTCCCAGACTTCATGAATTTAAGCGTTCTACTAGGCTGGCATCTCGTTCACACCCTTTCACTGTCGAAACTGTTAAATGTAGCCGTCTCTTCTACTTCAATAGCTTCATGTCTCGCACCTCTCTCCTGTGGAACTTCCTCCCCTCTTCCTGTTTCCCTGATAGCTATAATCTCCAACTATTCAAATGTAATATCAATCGACGTCTCCAGATGCCCTGATCTATCCCCTATCCTTCTCTTCATCCTTTCCTCTATCACTCCTATTTGCTCTAGCTCCAACTCTCTGTAACCCCTTGCGTGCCAGTGACTTCCCGCCTTGCTTGGGGGTGAAACGCTTAATAAAAAAAAAAAAAATAAATAAATAAAAAAAACTTATTCAAAGTTGTCCAGGTTGGAGTTAAAATGGCTGCGAAGGGCGATTTTCTTTAAGAAGTCCCGAAACAAAAGTTAACCTATCCATCAAATGTTGATAATTCGATTCTCAATCTCAAATGAAAACCCCAAAATAATTTCTTAGGCACTGGGGGTCCTTTTCTGAACAACACTTTCTTAGAAAGAGATTTTCAGTAGAGATAGTAGAACTTGAATCACATTTTTCAGATTCACGTACATTCTCAACAAACCGGAACAAACATAATTCAAGCAATATTAAGTTACATTCATGTTTCTGCTATATTTCTTTATTTGCATGGGGTGATGGGGGATATATTCATATTTCAATAATAGTATTTAATGCCCAACTATATAATTTTGATAAAACAATATATAGGTAGACAAGTGGCCTAGTCTGCACTTGCAGTTAAAAAGTTAGACATAAATAGAGCAAACAGGTAGTCTCTTATTTTTTTATTTTATTTTTATTTATCTTTTGGAGTGGGCAACCTGCTCACGGAAGCAGTCGGTATTGACCCCAACCAATAGAGTGAACCATCAATTTGCCATCAACATTTTAAACATGTCCATAGTGGTTAAAATTTTGAAAACGAGTTTCAGGGGAAAAATATTATGATTGTGGTAGGAAAACGACGGAAATAAGTGTTTTTGCGGGGCGTGGGTGCGTAAATAATGGGTTCGGTTACAAAATGAGCAAACATTTCAAGTTAAAATTAAATTAAACATCTATCTCCATTTTCTCTATTTTTTGCTTGTCCACTATTTCTATAGAATAATTCTCAAAAGATAAATAATGAATCATATATTTTTTGAAGCAACAGCTAACGCGAAAAAAAAAGAAAAAAAGAAAAAGACAAAAAGATGAGTAAAACCTCGACTGCCATTATCAAGAGAATTAAACTTGATCTAATCAGTGATATTTCCCTCCTCACGAATTCTACAAGTAGCAGACTGGTTTAAGTTGCGCACCCTCAACAACACCATTTTATTTTTATTTTATCTGAGGTCTTATGCTAAGCAACGGAACTGAATAAAATACAAAGAACTTTTTGCTTTATCTCTGAAGTATCTATCTGTAAATATCAGGTTAATGTAGGATTATATATGGTTGACCTTTTATGCCAGGTATCAAAGACCACTTTACTTACAGTTTAAAATTAGTTGCTTTGAGCCCTCGAACCACAACTAATCGGATAGTTTTTCTTTTGTGTGTGTGTGTGGTTTAATTTACATTTAACAAAAGTTGCTATGATTTTTCTATGCCTGCTCCGCCGAGACAAGAACCTGGTTCAGTCTTAACGTGTTTACCAATTGAGTCGAATGCCTACCATAAATGAGCCATAATTAAAAAATTTACGTTGCGTTTTTCACAATGACGCTTGTTGCAGAAAAAACATTATTCCAATTCAATTTTTAAAAAGATTATTTGAAAATATTGTGTACAAGCGTTTGCGTTGCGTAAAGAAAGGCGTCTCCAGTTTAAAATAAACGAAGAATTGTCAAGGGAAAATGCGTTGTTATTCAAATTCCCATACTTGAGTTGAATGTACAGTACAGTTGTACAATAATCATTAATGAAGTTGGTTTATTTGCAAATAACAGTTTGTTATTTTTTTTTTATTTGCTTGACTGACTGACTTTATTTTTCGGGATGAACTGGAGGAGTGTTGTTAACGAGAAATAAAGACTTGTGAAATTGAAATGAATAAATATTTCCTCCAATTCCAGTGTTTTATTTACTATTATTAAAAAGAATAGCTTTTAAATTTTTTTTTATGCTTTACAGAAACATACAAAATTTGCATCATACAGTAAAATACCTACATTCTTAAAATGAAATAAAAAATAAACGTAAACAATATTGAATTTTTCGTTTCTATTTTGTTTTTCCTCAAATGAATAAAAAATTGCGTCACGAGATTTTCAATTTATTCGTAGAAACACGAGTAGTAGGAATCCGAAGATTAAAATAAATGTCCGTCTTTTCTTTAGGAATAATTGTTTTATAATGCTTTGAATTTAAAGTGTCGAACACTATTTTGAAAAAAACTGAACAAAATATAAATATAGAGAGCGAGAAGAAAAAAGTGAACACATAATTATATTTCTATTGAGCTTCCGTAGATTCTGCTGCTCATCCTGCTCATAACTTGGTTGCAACCAATCAAATTACTCTTACGTCAATGACGACGACCGCGGCTCTCCTCCTACCACGTTTGACTCCAACTGTGGGTATTATCGAGATTAGTTCTTCTCCCCTTCCTTATTCTCTTTGCCTTTGCTTCCTCCTCCGTTTATGATAAGTACTCATCCTTCCCCTCACATTGACTGCTGCAGTGGACGTACGTACACAGCAGATAGCTTCTTCTTCTTTATCGTCGTCAGTCAATCATTTATTCCTTACCAGTCAGACATCGGGATCGTACAGTCGGGCGACGGACGGTTTTTTTACCGCATGCTGTGAAAATAGGGAAGGAAACTTACCAAGACAGGGATTTTTCTCTCTTGTAGTTCTCCCTTGTATTAGTGTGTATGTGTGTGACGCTTTAACATAGCACACACATACACATTACTTTATATATATTTTATATATTACGCATATAAATATATATATATATATTTGATAAGAAAGATTGAAGATAACAGTAAGTCTCTTTTCAATCCTTCTATTTGTCCGTTTTGTCGACAATTCCCGTCTATTTTGCTGTCCCTTTTCTATTGTTGATATATTGAAAAGAAAAAAAAATTAAAAAGAATTTGTTGTCATCTGAGCTCTGACAACATTCTGATATTTTTGGCAAAACAAAGGAGTTGACAAAGTAAGGAATTGTTAAAAAAAATAAACCCAAAATACATAAAAATATAAATAAAATCAAAGAACTATGGCTGATGAAGTGATTACTTCTACCCAACCGGACTCTATTGGAAATTTGCTCGGAGACGACATTGGAAGTCTGGATCACCATTATTCTTCAAATCCTTTCCAAGCCGAGCCACTGCAGCCTCAACCATCGGCACCTCAGCCAATGTCTTCACCCCCGAATGCATCGAAGTCTTTGGTAGACGATTTTGATCCTCATATCACTACCACTTCTGCCAGCAGCAACCCCGCGAATCCCACCAACAACTCGGCGGCTCCCAACTCCTCATCATCCTTTACCCCCGGTGAGCTTACTTCTAATAATCCTACCCTTATAAGCGATGATGATGATGATGATTACAAAGAGAATCATCAGCATCATCATGAAGAAGGTAACACGTATCACCCAGATGATGACGATGATGACGGCTATGATGACCGCGAAGAAGAACTAGAGGAAATTAATTATCAAAAGAATGGGGCCCCTTATCAGGACAACCCTGCATTTAGTGATTCAGATTCTACATCTGAATTTCACCATCATACTGAAGCAGTTAGGGAGCCATCGCCGTATTCGGCTCCCCCCGTTCAATCGAACGCAAATGACAAAATTGGAGGCTATGATAGCGATGAACATATGTATGATGAAGATGTGGAAGAAGAAATTAAAGAAGATGCCAAGCTGTCTGAAGAAGAATACGAACATCCTCATCTTGTAGATCATCATCAGGCCAATGAGGCCAACGAGGAGGAGGACGACGACGACGACATAGAATCTCTTACTGAAGACAACGTTGTCGTCCTTGATGATGAAGAGGGTGATCACGATGATGATCAGTTTGTGTATTCGGCTAGTGCTGCTGCTGCCGCCACCACCTCTGCCATCCCTGCCACCGAAACCCCTGAAATTCTTGAAACCCCTTCCAAATCTTTCGAAACCGAGTCCTCTACACAACCTTCTTCCCTTTTGTCGTCTGAGATTCCATCTCCGTTTTCGTCGTCAGCAGTTCAGATAGGCGCTGATGTAGAAGCAGAAGCGGAAGAAGCATCATCGGCATTTGATTTAGCAGAGGACCCAAGTCCGGCCTTGTCCACCACCACCACTACCAACTATGCACCACCCTCACCATCCGCCCCTCCTGCAGCAGCCACCTTCTCCTCCTCACCTTCTGATGATGCCACCTCTGCTGTCATCCCCCAATTAATAGGTGATGATGATGCTGCTTCTGGTTTTGCTGGTGCAGTCACTGGTGGTCGGGTTTCGCCAGCCGCTGCCGCCACGGAGATGATGAAGACGATGGATAACTATGACAATGATGACCATCTCCAAATGTCCAGTGCTCCACCTCTTAGTCCTACCTCTCTTTCTAGTTCCCCACCTCTGGCCCCTCAACCTTCGGCCCCACCTCAACCTGTTGAGGCAGACCACTTTCACCCCCCAATAGTCACTAGTAGCACACCACAACAAGCTTCGTCCACCCTGTACAACTCTCACAGCACCAGAGAGAACCGTATTTCCTCAGAACCCGAGTCCTTCACAGCAGAACCCAACGTTGTACAAACAAGCCCCAAATTTACAGATCGACCCAATGAAGTACAACATGAGCCGACATTAGAAGGTAGGACATGACGACTCACTCCTTAAGTACATATCTATCTCTAATATATCTGTACCTATCGATTTGAGAGAAAAAAAATCGATTTTATATTACATACGTACATACATATTTATATAGACATCTTCTTCTTAGTGAAGTACATTTTTACACGCTTTTTTTTTTACTCTGTGTGTGTGTGTGTGTTTTTTTTTTCTGTATGGTGATGATGGGCAGTCTGTGTAATGGTGTGTGTACGGTGATAGGCTATATGTTGATCTAATAATCCAGTGTGTCTGGATTGGAATAATCAGCTGTGTGATAGCAATTCCATTCAAAATATAATTATTTTTTCACTATATAAATTTCTTTACGGGCACAGCTACAACCGCAGTCATCATTGATTGTGCTTCGAGCTGTAAAATTTGATATATAGATGTGTTTGTACGTGATGGTGATAAAAAAAACAAAAAAGAATTTTAAAAAGGAAAGAAAAAAAACATTTAAAAAAAATAAATTGGAACTTGGTTTATGAATTTATTTTTACATACTATTATTAATTTTTCTCTCTTCTCAGCAGCCTTTTTGTTTCTATTGCTTCTTAATTGTGAATCTTTTTTATTATTCGACATTATTTGGCGCTACCCTTCTTCAAATTTGTTGTTGCAATCTGAAAAGTGTGCTTTTTTTGCATGTTGTTGTTTTCTTCCTTCTCTTTTCTTTTCTTTTTTCTTTTTTACACATTTCATTTTTTTTTTTTTTTTTTTTTTTTTTTTTTTTTAAAATTTCTCTTTATCTTGACTATTTTATTTTCAATGGCTTTTTGTGTCTTGTAGTTGTCGGCTGTTCTTGAATTTACTTTCCGTCAGCGGCAATGGTTTTTTTTTTTTTTTTTAATTTTCCCTCTACGAAATGAATGAATCAATCCAAAAGGTTTTAAAGGTCTTTACTCTTTACGTTAAGTTTTACAATATAATTATTATTCATTGCTTATTTTATAGGCTTTGCTTTTTAGATTTCTATAAATATTAAAGAGTTATTGGCATTTTTTTTAATTAAGTTTCACCTTTTTGCCATTTTTAAATCCCAGTAAGAGAAATCTCGAAGTTTTCATTAATAATAATTATCCTAATTAATCTTTGATGTTGAGACTTGGTAATATTTTTGTTTCTTTTTAATTTTTTTCAATACGTTTATCTCCACAACTAATATTTATTTTCTATATTATTCTAATTTAAAATTATGAATGAATTAAGAACAAAACCAGCAGTAATTAAAAATTATAAATTCTTTCCCTTGTTCTCGTTTTTTCTTTTTTCGCCTTTTCATTCATTATTATAATTTTTTTCCTCTTTGTTACTTGGCTCAATCAATTAAGTTCTTAAATTCATTATCTCTTTTAAATATAAAACTAAAAAAAAATAATTAAACTTTAGTAGCTAGTTATAGTCATTAATCTTTAAATTTCTCTGTTATCAAGGAAAAAAAACTAATTTATCACTTAGTTTTTGTTGTCTTTTTTTAATGTCTTTTTAATTCAACAATTGAGACAGGCTTCTTGAGGAATTTAAAACCCAATCAGTATTTTCTCATAAAAATGAATTTACCTCATTTTTTTTTCTTTTAATGTTTGTTTTAAAATTCAACTGTCGAATAACAGCAAAAAAGAGAAAAAAAAAATTAAAAATCAAATTATTTTGAAATTATTCTTTTTTAATCACCCCCAATAAAAAAAGACGCCCCCACTCATTGTTTAAAAATAAATTCATTTAATTTTTAGGACTTGATGTTACAACTTTTTTCAAATTTTATTTTATTTTTACCCTTCATTAGATGTTTTAGTTTTTAGTCGAAATAGCCTAAATTTCCTGCTTTACAGATAATTAATAATTTATTCTATCAAAGTACATTTGGAGCATATAATTATCAATTATTAATTAGATTGTCTTTCTAGTTCAAACTTATGTTCAGGTTTCCCTTTTGTCTTTCTCCCGCGTTTTTCCCTTAAAAATGGAGACAATTTACTACTCAGCTGTTCGATGAAAGAAGGATTTTTTTTTTTTTTTTTTTTCGTTTTTTATTTGTTAGTTTGTAGGAAAATAAATCATTTTGAATATATTTCTAAATTGCAGTAGTAAAATATAGTTAGCGAAGAGATTGTGAAAAGAAATGCATTTGCATTTTTAATTTCAGTTTTTTTTTTCATTTATTTATTATTTATTTATTTATTTATTGCAGTGGAGACAAAATTTTACATCGCGTAATTTAAAAAAGAAATCTTTTAATAATAAAGATACTTGTATATTTGTTAATCCATCGTCATAATGTTTCAGACTGGTGTGCGTAATAATAAATGAGTAATTTTCACCTTGATTAACAATTCTTTTTACAAAGAGATTTAATTCGACCAGTGAACGACAAAAATATGTCCTTAATTCTCTTTTTAGAAGGATTAATTTTTGCAACCAGTATTAGGCGAAATCCTATTAGTTTTAAGTTTTATGGATTATTGCATAAAACAAAATCCTGCAATACATTTTTTTCTTACCTTCCAAAGAAAGTCAATGTCTCTACCTACCTACAGGTTGGATTTTTTTTTTTTTTTGCTATGTCAATTATTAAAACCGGGTCTTTTTAAAGGAGTGTTTGGATTTTTTTTCATATCTGTTTTATAGAATTGACAAAATTTTAAAGCTTGAAGTTTTGCTAATTAATAATTATTTTATTTTTATATCAATTCTATTTAAAGCTTTTTTTGTAATTCGAACTTAGTCGTTATCGTGTTTTTTTTGTTCACCCATTTCTTGACCAACATCTCTCTGCCCCGTAGTTTTATGAATTAAATGTTTTTGGGACAGAAACATATTTCCTTACCCACTGCATACTTCAGCAGTTTACTTTTAGTTCAAATTTAAATACGCCTATTAAATAATGGAGAACCACATTATTACGACGAACTAATTTTTTTGTGTCGCTAAGAAATTAAAAACTGAAGATATTTTGTAAAGTTGGTGACACAAAAACATTGCAATTATAAATGATAACGAATAATTTTGTTCAGAAAAAGAAAATCACAACTATTTTTGATTCAATCCTAAAAACTATTTTTGTTCATAGAAAGTAAAGAGAAAAAACAAATTGACACAGTTTTTTTTTCACTTCAGTCAGTGGTTGATTAAAAAAAATGTCCAGAAATGTCAAGTGTCAGGCAAAAACAGCACAACAAAATGCATAAAGAATAAAATAAAATTAAAAAAATCCTCTTAGTAACCATTGAACATTAGAAAATGAATGGTTTCATTTATTTTAAATATTAAAGAAAAAAAGTCATTCCTTTCAAGTTACATTTTCCCTGTTTGAACAAAATATTGTTTTAAGAATTTTATTTATTTTTAAATCCGGGAAAGTAGAAAAAGAATTCGTTCTTGACAATGTCTCGCTTTTTATTGCAAAGACATTTTCTTCCGGCAACATTTTAATGTTGAGATTGGTATGGCGCAATTATATAAATCTAATTTTAGCATTAATTAGCATCACTTGCTATGTGAATTAATGAAACTTGACAGGTTTTTTTGTCTGCAATTAAGCACCAATCCTTATTGTTTAAAGATGGAGTAATTAATTTGGTTGTAGTTCAATAATAATAATAATCTTTTTTTACGTAATTTGTATTATTTCTTGGAACTTAGGATGTTTTCAGCTTTTTAAAAAGTCATACTGAATTACTTTATGACTCACAAAGAGATCCAATATCAATTTAACAGACATAAATTATTTTTAATGTAAGTACTTGGTGTGGTCTCTAAAACTGAACATAAACGAAGAATGCTCATTACTTTTTTTTTTTTTTTTTTCGATTGCCGAAAGTAAAATATAGCAATCGAATTATTTTTAAATAATTATTTAAATGTTGCAGTAGTAGTTTGTTTTATTGATTTATTATTGATTGGGTGTTTACTGTTTATTTCACTGGCTTTGGTTGGACTTGGTGAGAAATGACGAGATATGAAAAAGTAAAACCCTGCTGCTGCTACTGCTATACAATAAATAGCAAGAAAGCGACACTCGTGTCTACACATTTAACATTGCTAATAATAATAAACACATAAATCCATTAGAAAAGCAGCTATGTTAATTATTATGTCAGTTTATTTGCACCATAAAATAAAAGATTTTTGTTGTTGATCTTTGCAAGGAATAGGGCTTTACCTTCAGAAAGATCGACCCCCCCCCATTTTCACTCTCTCTACTAGCAGCTAGTCTAAAAATTGCTTAACATAATGAATGGAAATGAACAGGTTTGTTTTTTATTAAAGCAACTATTCCATTTCGATCTTAGTTTATTAAAAATGAGTTTTGTTTATAAGCGAAAGTGGGGATTTGTATGTTTTTTGAAGTCAATCATAATATTTTTCATAAGCCTCTGTTAATTTATTCATTCAGCTTTGCAAGAAAAGAAAAATACTAGCATTTGTCACTTGTGTGAGGTTTCATGTGATCAAATTTTACTATTTCATATAACTGTGGGATTTTTAAAAAAATATCTACTCACTAATGAAATATTTTTGGTAAATTTTGGTTTTGTTTTCCGAGCGCTAATATTCCTTAAAATTTTTCCAAAATCGTCATAATTCCGTGCAAAAGTACATGCTGAACTCGAATTAACAATTAAATTATGAAGAAACCTTCATAATTTTGGAGTTATCGACAAGAAAAAAATCGGGCTTCTTGTTGGTCATTGCAAAATAATTTATTTTTTTAATTAAATTTTTGCTGTTGCCATTATAAAAATTAATGAAGTTATAAAAAATGTATTTCCTTAAGGTTTTTTTTTTAAAAAAAAAACCTTAAGGAAATAAATTTTTATAACTTCAATCTAAGTGGGAATTTAAAAAAAAAAAAAAATTAAAAATACTTGTGGTTATAAAGGCTTCCCTTAACTTTGATATCAAATCGCTTCCTAATTTGAAAATAAGGGGAACTACTCTGTAATTAGCCAAATTCTAACTAGATTTGAAAGTTAGTTTTATTAGTA